TACAAATATACACGTGCACGTAGATATTGATCTTGACCTTGGAAATATAACTTATAATACGAACTAGATGTTTAAAATACGTGTAAACCTTTACTTGAGGATTTAATGGGTAAAATAGAATGCCTTTAAAAAGTATATTTAGCCCTCGAATAATAAGTGTTTGGAGAATGGAGAGATTTTTAAGAAATAAATTATATTGCGTGAAATATTTTTTCTGTGAAAAAAATATGCCTTAAAAGGAGATGCAGTAAACTCAACAATCCTATTAAATTGATATAATTTGGCTTTTAGTTTTAGAACGTTTTGCTTCGGAGAACATTAAACAACTTACTATCTTAATGTTATTTCTTCATACTGTTAAATTACACATTTCCAGTGAAATTAGTCTGAAATCTAAAAATGGAACAGATAATTGTTAATTCAACAAAGCGATTCCTAATGCTGACAGAATTACTTTCTTTAATACTTCCTCAGAAGTATGATAAACAAATAGTGAATATATGAATTTTTTGTTAGCTTGAATGATGTCACTGTACAAATGTATATAAAATTTGAAGTCGTTATACTTCCCTTTTAAACAGGGAGTAGTATACCCATTCAGAACAATACACTTGCACGTGCCAATATATATATCTAAAAGGGGAAAAATCTCACCCTAACTAAAGAGAAATCTGCCTAGAATTTAAAATATGGAATGGAAGTTATTAGAACGTTTTCAAACCCCAGAGTCTTTTACTGTGACATGTGCCCATTAAGGGTGATCTTAAATGAGTTATTCATGCACTCATATCGGTTAAAAATATACTTTTTATGTGTACCCTTTTGAACAGAATAAACTAGCTATACAAATCTTATAAAACAAAATTTACTGAGTAAAGTTTTTAGAAAGAATAATATTGTATTGATGAAATGAATATGAAATTCTTAGTGTTTCAAAATAATACAATTTTTATATTTGTACAGAGAGAGAAACTTGGTCAACCAACAGAAGTTGTTAAAGTCTATGTGTACACACATACATCCAGATAACCCAGATACACTGTAGATAAGTAGGACATTTCTTTTGAACAGCTCACGTTGTTTTTTGAAGTAACACTACATATAAAACATGTGTAGCAGTATGATAACTCTTCCTATTAAATATGTTAATTTTCTGATGGGTTTGCTATGTGTTCACACGATAGGGAAGGGTCAAGATCTAATTATCTGAGAGCTTTGAAGCAAAATAGAAGAACGAGTTTTCCCAACTATAACAGTTATAAATTTGATAAGACAATAGCACACAAATAGTTGTAGCCATGAAGATAACACAGCTGGCATGTTTGAAAGAGGTCATGATAGCTACTTCTATGGTTAATTGAAGCAGATCTGTCTAATAAAATGTGGAAACTTCCTGTTTATATAGCCAAGTATAACTGATCCAAAAAATTAATAGCAGGAAACAAGGTTACAAAATCAAGATGACTTGACTTTAAACAATTAATAAAACAAGCAAAAGTATAAACAACTTAAATGCTTTTGTAATCTAATGACTGAAACATTACTAAGATTCCATATTACACCATTATAATGTTTTCCTCTTCCAAACCATATTTACTGACATCAGTCAATGTATTGTAGTAAAGCAATATAATTTATGATCTTCTCCTGCAACAATCATTTGCATGAAAGCTTGTAGGTGTTTAATACACAGATTACTGATGAAATTTAGCATATATGAATATGTGAAATTAAGAAAGGAAAGGAAATAATTACTGTGATCCTTTTCAATTAAGAAACATGAATAAACTGAGATTGAATTTATTTATCACATTCAAATAGTGTAGTAAAAACTAAAAACAAAAAAAACAAAGCATTAAATGTTTTACAATTCACTCAAAACTAATGGATAATTAAGTTATTATGAAGTTGAGCATAATAATTTAATATATATATATATACACACACAGAGTTCAAATGTTTTCATTTTAATGTTTAATGCATCATATATTTATTAAACAACAATCAAGAACATGCCAATTCTGTAGTTTTAATACTAATTTTTAGCCACAAGTGGTTATTTCAAATAAACAGATTCCTTTTATCACAAGTCTACACTTGAATATACACGCATTATTTGCTACAGATTTTAATTATGATAAACATTCATTTTTCTGAATAATTAATTATGGTCGACTTATATAGATTTATACATATTTGTGAATTTGCATCAACCTACCATTTTCTCAAGTATAAGTTTTGTTCTCTTGTTAAAACAAGGTTTGCTTGCATCTTGTTCATCAACAATTTATCTGTTATTTTGTTTTTTATGTTCTCCCAAATTTATATGGCATTCTTTATATCTTTGTAGTTTCATTATTTTATTTTTTTAGTTACTTCCAGTGAAAAAACTTTGTTATAACACCTAAAATTATAATAGTTTATTTTTTCAATAATTTATTCAAACATACAATTCAACATGTTATTGCATGTTTTTTAACTAAATTATATTGATTGAATAATGCATAAATACTTAAATAAAAAATATCATAGACTTATTATAGATAATCTCAACCACAATTTTAGACACTATCTTAATACAGCAGTATACATAATACATATGTTTAACAAGTTATAACAAATGATGTTCAATAATTAACAAATAAGTTCATCAATACAATAAAAAATCCTTATGGGTGTAACACAAATATATGTAACTACATATCTGGTCACTTGAGATCATGTTTTATGTTACAAGCTGTTTCGAGTAGGGTGGCAGTAGAAAATGGAATAGCCTAAATGGGCCAAAAGACTCATTGTTATCCCTTGGAAGTGAAATTATAAAAATAAAGGTTATTCTGTTAAAACTGTAATCAGTTGTTTTGCTGAAAAGTAAATCTAGATTTGGACTTCCAGAACTTATCATTACCTTTAACATTTAACACTTCATTTTTAACTTGATTGTTTCACTACTTAAACACTAAGCTATTTTATGTCTAATCCTTCAAATCTTTCTTAATAATTCAGTTTTTTAAACAGGTATCATTCTAATAGCTTACCTGTGAACTTTTTCCAGCAAGTTAACATTATTCCTGTAACTATGGGACAAACCCTATGCACCCTACTCTAAATAACATTTTACCAAAGTGTTAACAAGGTCACAACAACCTTGATCCTAATATTCAGTTTATATAAACAGGTCACAGAATCCTATTAGCTTTTTAGCTACTATTTTTTTTATTGGACTGAAGTTTTTCAAGCATTCATAAATAAATGAATTCTCTTCCTTTTCTGAAACCTCAATACCATCTCAACCAAGTATTTACCAATAAGTGCCACCATTCCCTATTTTTCAAAACTGGAACTCACTTTCCACATTCTTGCTGCTATAGACTGTGTTCATTCTCATAAGTTACAAATTCTCTACTGAATTATTCACCTTCTCCAAATTACAGAAATGTCCATTTATCACTCCCATTTGCTTTCTACTGCCAAATCCCAATTTCCTATCTAATCTTTAACTTTACCTCCAATTCCAAAGAATAGAAGTTAACAAGTCAACTTCACTGTGAACATTCACAAAGCAATCTAAAGGTCATGAAGCACATCTTTACATTAACATATTAAGAGGAAAAAACTGGCTTTTCTACAGTTGCATTTTCTCAGTGACATACTGAGTTTGAAACATTTTATGTGATAAAAAATAAATGTAAAACTTATAATAAAAACATTAATATCAAAAGAAAATTATTGTAAGCGTTAATACACTATATGCTATAATTTATCAATTTGATCTTTCTGGAAGAATATTAAACAGACACATCATTAGGATGGAAGCTGATTTAAAAAGTGAAGACATGCATTTGTTGTATGTATAATAATTAAAAGTGACTGGACTGAAGTATACCATATTGTTAGGGACATGATATAGTGCCTGGGGAAATATTTTTTTGTTGTTGTTTGAACTGAAAAAGCAAATAGTAAGGACTGAATTAGAATGGGTTATAAAGATAAACTATGGAAATCTAAAACAAAATTTGTTACTTTTAGATGAGTTAGTGTTTTGGCATTCACTGCATAAAAATTCATGTGTCAGTTTAATGAGCCACATACCCTACATTCACTTATCTCATTCCTAATGGACACTGGTTTAAAACTAGCTTTTGTCAAAAAATAAAACAATTTCTGAAATGCTTAAACAAAATCAACATAATTGGTCCTAATATATTACCATGCTGGTTTTAAATTTCAAAACATATATGGTACTTTCAGAGATAAGTTTTCAAATATCACATTTTATCTTTCAAAGAATATAACTCACATTGGTTGTATGCATTCCCAGTAACCAGGCAGCATTTAAACATAATTGAGAAAAACTACAATAATTTTTACAAAACAAAATAACAGTGGATTATAATACTGGAATTGCAGTGTAATCCAAGTATGTTAGAAATGTTATCAACACTGATAATAAAATCCCCATGACACATGAATGAGTCAATAAAAATACAGATACTCTAACTCAAGTTTATACCAAAATACTGTCGAAATAAAAATCAATTAGTCTACAAAATATGCGAATGGATTAAGTCCGAGTCCTTTTGTGAATGTTGTATATAGTACAATGCTTGAGCTGTAATCAAATTAACAACATGACACTAACAGGTTGTTCTCATTGTAATTGTCATGCAAATTATCATTTACATTACCTGTGAAAGAAAAAGCCTACCTAATTTCCCTCTAAGCTCAATATTTCCATAAATTATTCCCGATCACTTAAGAAACCTCAAGCAAGCAACATAAAAAACAACGCTTAGAAATATTTCTTGAGTTAACCGAGAAGTGGTGGACGCGAACACCTGAGCAGCGAACCTCAGAACAGATTTAACTTTAAGTTTAAAATTGTAACTACTTAATTTTTGTGAAATTGCTTCCTAGACTATTACTTAGACAGTAAAATAGGCTCATCTAATTTATCTGTTATTAACATGAATGTAAAAGTTTAAAATAAGTTTTCCTACCTCATTCAAAAATCCTTTGAAAAGAAAATATCGCTCCAACCTACTCTTCCATCTTAGTTACCTGTACAACCACCTGATGCACTGATCCTCGAGCAACAAGTATACGAGGTTACTCAAACTGGTAGCGTCCTCTCGTGTATAATTTCTCAGTACAAAGGTACCTGCTGCCCTCTATTATCAATAATCAATTTTATGACCTTTAGTATCTGTTTTCTGACGTTTTTACCACATTGGGTATGAACATAAATAAATATTGGCTGTATAAGTTTTCAGTAAGTCAAAATGCTGGAGTTTTATTCGTAAGATTTTAGAGCTTTTTCTTTTGTGGTTTTATCAGCAAAACGGGAACATAGGTTTTTAGCAATTGTTATATTTTGGTAACGATATTATTAGAGTAATGAATAATGTCATATTAATGTTCATGTTTTTGTTACAAACTATCACTGAGTGTCATAATCAAAACGAATGATGGCAAATCAAATAGTATTTAATATGTAAGTACACATGCATACAATTGCATATACACAATTTGAAATTATGCAAACATGTAATTGAAATTTGATTTTTTTTTTTTTTGTCCTAAATGACGGTGGACATATTTCAAAACCTAAAATCTTGTTTAAAAGAAAGACTCGCTATAACAAAGCCAAAATACCAACACTCTAGTATGTAGCAAGAGTAGTGTTACTTTCATTAATTTTTTAAATGTTATTAACTAATAGTGCAAGATGTTTCGGGCCTACTTATATAGTTGTCACTGTTAGATTAAAGCTAAGATTTCGTTGAAATTCATCATAGATATTAATAGTCTTCACTTTAAAAAATCTCCCCCTCATTTGTTCTTAAATTACTAATCTCAAAATATTTCCAGTTTTATATTTTAATAAAGCTCATAATGTATTTTTAACTCTCATGAATTACATAGTTGCAAAGTTACTGGAAATTGTTGTTTGTATATACAAGCCAACTTTGATACTAATGTCCGAATGTAATGTTCATATTACTAAATGTATAACTATTGGTCCTTTATCTATACTGCCACTAATGTGAAAAGGAAGTAATATAAAATTAAGTTCGGTTCGCTAAAGATTCGTCTGTAACATATATTTTAGTAATTTAATCTACTCTTTATAAGTGTTTTATCTAATAATATTATACACCGAGATTTATAAATTATTAGTTAACCGTAACTTTAATATTACAATAACGGTTTTTAGTACAATGATATTAAAGATGTAAAAACCTGATGAATACATTTTTAGTTCTTACAGCTAAAATGCGATGGGTGTTACTGAAAAAGCTGGAATAAAAATATTTAACCTATGGTTATTTTCCCATATTAGATTCTAGATGTCATAAATGTTATGTTTAATACATAGTTGAACACATGTCATTTTCGTCGAAAAGGCTTGTTTGCCTCCTATGATTTTCAAAGGTCTTGGAGTCATGTAATATTTATTGTAGCAGACGTTAGAAACACTTCACTATTCCAGAGTCAAACACAAATTTCACTTCCGACAATTTAGATTAACTAGATAAATATACTGCCATTGCAGAGGGTTTCTACCAGTGTGTTGCTGTCATTTAGATATATCACCAGGGTAATTACAATGTCCTTGTTTAATTATACTGAGTGTTACATTCCCACCAGGGCCATTTCTCAAATCTTAATTTAATGAATGAAAAATCAGTGTTGGGTGTTACTTCTTAACAAAACTTATCAATAGTATGTTGTAATCTTGGTAGTGCCCAGCAAGCAAGCCTATTGTGATCGACAATTACGTTATATTCTATTCACAAAATATTATTACGTTATTTATGTATTCTCAATTTTCTGCGTGAGATGTAGTTGTTTTGTGCTGTTGTGCATTAAGAGTAATAAGGCACAATCTAAATGCATGTGTATATGTAATTATTCAGGCGTTTTCCTATTGTGCAGTTGAAAAGTCACCTATATAAGTAAGTTCAAGTGGATAAATATTAAAAGAAAACATATTTATGATTATAAAATTCCATTCCAAATGTATTTATTAGAACATTCTTAATTTTTTGGATCATTTGTTACTAGGCCTGTATATATGAGGTGCAATAGGGCGTCATGTATCAAAAATTATAAAGCTAAAATATAATGTATTGTGCAGTTAAAAACATCCTTAAGAAAAGCTCTGTAATTATTTAACGTGTAGTGATAACGAAATATTTTAGAAATTTCCGAGGCAAAGTATGCAAGTACAAAAATAAACGTGTCTAATTTTTGATATCATTGGTTTATTATTGCAATAAATCACGCGCTTTCAGAATCTCGGTTATTAAATATTTTTAATCTAGTATTAATATACGTAGTATTATATAGTTTATACTATTGTCACTATCTGCGATAACCTGGAAGCTCAAACATGGAAATTTAAATTATCAGCAATGGTATTTGGCAGACGGTTTTCAATAGACGGGTAGCTTCACTTATTTATGGCTTAAAAATAGTGTCCTCTTTGTCTTTCTTATACTTTATCATAATCGAATTCAGCTAATTTTTCATGCCACGTTTTTATTTCGTCAAATCATCTTGCTAGAATTGGTCTTTCAGAATACTGATTCACGTCGATCATTTAAAATTATAACCACTTTGTATAGTTTACAGAATATTCAAGTTTGTAGGAATGTATGCAACATTTCTCATTTCTCGATATGTGAAAGTAGATTACCCATTATTTAATATAACGTAATCTTCAAGACCATAACGTACATTAATTCCCGCAGGAGTTGATTTATAATTTTATACAATGTTTAATATCAACTGTTAGTGATCCACATCACAAAATTAGGCATCGCATGTACAATTTATTCATGACAATTAGAGCATAAGAAAGAATCACACATTAAAGGTTTTATTCTAATTTGCCTAACGACAGCAAATGTATTTATGCGATTAAAATAAACCTTACCTTACTGTTTGTCATAAACACCGACGACGGCTGTATTCACGTTTTCTAAGATATCCTAATTTGATAAAAAAGGGGAGATATGACAAATCATTATAAAGTAAATAAAATTACTGAAGCACTGCTTGAAGACGCTTTGTTTATTTTTTCTGAATTATGCGCGAAGCTATATGACAGCTATCTGTGCTAGCCGTCCATAATTTAGCAGTGATAGACTACAAGGAGGGCAGCTGGTAACATCACCCACCGCCAACTCTTGAGTTATTCTTGTACCAACAAATAGTGGGATAGACCGTCACATTAAAATGGCCCCAAGGCTGAAATAGCGAACATGTTTGGTGACGGGGATTCGAACCCACGACTCGCCCTTTGCAAGACAAGCGCCCTAACCACAAGGGCATGCCACACCACTGACGAAGCTTTATGAATTTTGTAATACTATTCAGGACAATTTGTTTGGTTGACATTTTCATTCTTCTTTAAACTGTTTCAAAATATTCTGTGTTGACTTTTATTCTTTGATTTAAAAACGCATTTCATGAATAATCCCTGCATATATTTTTATTCTATGTATCGTTATCATACATCTTCATAATAATAAAAAAACATCCCTTTGCCCATCAATCAAATCATACAATAGTATACTTCAAGTAAATGTCTGTATTATACATGTTGAAACATATAACTTAGTTTCAGTTTATTATGATTTAAAACTTGTAAATGAAATAACAGCTCGTAAGAATGCCCCTTTGGGACGATATTCAAACTGGCATACAGCATGTTACTGCTTAACAAAACTTCTCCATCAAATCAAAGCTTTGCCGAATGGTTGTAAATATATGAGGTCCACTGGCCTAGTAGATATAACATCCAAGTTCAACAAGAAACAGTATTTGTTATGCAAATAACATGAGTACAGTAACCACAATTCTTTTCACCCTAGGGACAACTTTGCAAGGTTGATTAAATTACTAGAACAGAATGCAGGGGAAGTCTTGAATCGTAAAAAAAAAACAGGTAAAAGTGCTAGGCATAGTTTGAACATCGTTTATAAAATATATTTCAAATAAAAACTTGCATACTTTTGGGAGATTACAAGATTTGAGGCTAGATTTATGATAAAAAGCAAGGTGCTCATATTGCAGATCAACTTTTAAAGAGACGCCAGATTTTTTCAACCACTTCACAGGGATGACATGAAACGGAGAATAAAAAGCAAATGACAAGCAATACAAAAACAAACCCTTTAGGAGCTAATTAGCATCTGACTACATGCACAGGTCATGCATCTGGGTCACAGTGACCAGGACCTCTGGCAACAAATGTAAGGAAAACAATATCTGAGCCCTTTTAAACGCCACCCATATTTCGACTGCCAGGGTTTCTTCCTTTGCCCACCTAAGCATTGTTCTGAATTTTTCTTGCTTGCTCCAGTCTTTTAATTCCTCTTGGTGATATTTGTATCGCCCTCTGTCCTGGTACTGTATATAAGCACCTCATTCAGATAATGTTATCACTTTTTCATGACTTCACTGACTCAATCCCTGTCTCTAACACCGGCTCTTAATGGGGAGGAAGGGAAGGAGAGTGTGAGATGAAGTATTTTTGGAAATACATTTTCAATTTAAGTAAATGTCAATTTCCAAAACATACTTACCTCCTCTCACACTACAGCTAGAATCCCACATTGATAAGGTGGAGGGGCCAGTGAGGGCATTATCCATACAGAAAGTGTGTGCATAGATTGGCACCCTAGTGGGGTGGAGGAGCTGCACTACATCCAGAACGGGTATGCTCTTCACCCAAAAGTTAATTCATGTACTGTGGGTGGAGTTTTACATGATTTGTCATCACTATTGGCCAGACCCAACCAGATAGCCGAAATTCCACTACTCTGGGTTGGAATTACAGGGCCATGGTCCCTATATTCCACGTTGGTAGCTAGGGCAATTGGACTGCAATATATATATATATATGTATGAGTGTATCCAAACCTGTAGCCATAGAGTGATGTGTTCCGAGCCACTGGAATCACGATGAGAAGATAAGCAACACCAAAAGGGACAAACCTTCTCCTCAGTCTGAAGAAGTCCGAAAGGCAACATCCCAGGCTCGGAATGATGGGATTTTGTATGTATTACTCAACCTGAGGAAACAGAATTCATCTGGTTTGAAATTATGAACACTCATCCTCACTCCTCAACCATGTGGGCAAGGTAAATTCCATGTGCCCCCAGAATTATGGGAAGAACGTGGAACAAACTGTGCTTAACCAAGGTCCCAGGATGTGACCACTCTGCATTTGGAATTATAATGAGCCCTCTTCCATGAACAATATACTGAACCAATATTGATCAAAAAGAAGGGCCACTCTCAACCCAACCCAATAGGCGAGCAACAACTCTGAACCCGTATTATGAGTAGGCTCCCACATAGGCAGGTGCTTCTCCTACCAACATCTGAAAAAACATACAGGTATCTGGGTAGGAGGGCCCCAACTTCGCCCTCTTCTCCAAGAGTAGAGAAATTCACTCTAACACTCTGGAAGTAAAGCTTCTGTCCCCCACCCCAGTGAAATCTGGGGTGGGGGATAATGCACGTTCGGGAGTCCTGAGGAACAATGATCTGGAAACAGTGTAATAGGCAAACCAATTTCCCAAAATTTTTAAAAGCAAACCAACCCCAATTTATTCAATTCAACGATCGGCAGGAATGGGCAGGCTCCCCTTATGCTTTACTTATGAATGTCATGATAGTCCATGAGTGACAGTCCAGCATAGTACAGTAATACCACCAAGTCAGTCTCTAAGTGGTCTTGTGGAACACCTCATTTCTATAGAGCATGTTGCAACCTGTATAAAATATATTGAATTAGTGGTTGCTAGTGCAGAATTGGTTTGATAAAAGCACACCTGTCTGGGCAACACTCGCCACAGAGTGGGATCCTGTGAAAATGAGGTAAGGGGCCCTGAAAAGTAGCAAAAATACTCACACCTCTGTATAATGTAGCAGAAGTGGTTAAGATGTCTACAGGGTGGTAGGCAAAAACCCTCAGATGAAGATACTGCCAGATCATGCAAGTACTGTCAGTTAAAAGTATTGGAGGATGTCCACATACCAGTCCACACAATGTCCTCTAGTAGGCAATTCAACTGGACCACTATGGACAAAGAAATGTGAAAAATCTGATTAGATTTGACTCGCAGAAGATTCCTCACCTTCAAAGAGAGCCCAGAATAACAAGTCATTGTCTAGCATCTCCAAAGGCATTAGTGCAGGCAACAAAACCTTCAGGACCCTCACTGAACATGATTTATCCCCTTCCTTGTCTGACAGTATCTTGGATAAGAAGAACTGGTTTGAGGACATAGATAGAATGAGAAAGCCGTTTGTGGACAAACAGTACAAACCACTCTGACCAGCAATGTCAATAGGTCAGCAGCAACAAAAACAAACCTTCAGGTAAAGGTGATACATGACATATGAGAATCAGGTCACAACAGGTGTTGAGAAAGAGCATGTAATGTAATCTTAATATACCAGTTAGGTAACTGAAAAGGTCGTTTGGGAGAAAGGACCCAAAGTGACTTGAGGAATCCAGAGAGTACCGGGCACTCAAAGAATATTTTGCAGTGAGTATCGAACGGTAGTTGATAAGGTGATCTTATACAGGGTGATTGTGGAAGATGCAAAAACCCTTGCCAAAGAGCCACATCAAAAAAGGAGTTATGGTTGGCACTTCTGGTTGAAGTAGGTTGAGCCTCCTCTCAATACACCATTGCCAATATCCATGTCATTTCCATTGACAAATGTTCATCGTGGGGCTAAACAAAGACAGAGACAGATACATGACAACCTTAGAAATTAAATTCTGATGTCATGCAAAAGACTGCATAACCTCTATACCCGAAGCTTGAGCTTCTAGATAGCTGGGTGTACCATGTCAGATCATGGCTGCCTCCACAGAGATGGCCTAAGAAGAGGTGTACACTCTTGAAAGTACTGCAGAAGCAGAAACCAGAGTGTAGTTGCCAATTAGGTGCTATCAACAGGACCAGACAATAGGTTGGAACAAATCATATTTAGTACCCTGGGTAACATATGAATTGAGGGAAAGGTGTTCCAAAGTTAGGTGTCCCAATGAGTAGGCCAACTCACCAATCAGAGTGCAAAATGAGAGCCAATCCAACAAACCTTGTGATGCAACATTTATTCTGTTGGGAGAATATGCTTGGGTTGAGACACTTGATCTGCTACTGCAAGCATCACCTGTGGAATATGACAAGCTAGTATGGTGATATGACAGGAGTCGTCCCGAGAAATGAGGTCCAAGGTTCGCAAACAAGAAGACCTGGACCAAGTACCTCCTCAACAAAAAACACGACATCACAACGGAATTGTGAGAGGGAAGCCTGACGATTGTCCCCTAAATAAGCCCAGACAATGAGGCATTGCCTTTTGAGGAGCAAGAAGAACTAAAACATTGTGTAGAAAAGTCTCGTCATTCGTGTGTAGACCCTGGAATTCCCGACTGTTGGTATATGCACTCCATCCCTGAAGCAAGGCATTCGTAATGAGATGGAACTCTGGACGAAGTGTCAGTAGAGGAACTCATATCTTAGTAGTGCCCCGACTTAACAACCCCTCTAGATCGAAAAATGATCTAAACAAAGGAAACTGGGGAATCCAGTGAATCAACGTTTATGATCCCTTGGTTGCATAAAGACCATTAAAAGGATTTATTGTGCTCTCATCCCAAAAGCATGAGGGATTCGAGTGATGCCCATATTCACAGAAGAGAAAGAACCACCTGTGTATTGTTTTTTTTTTTTAATTTCGCGCAAAGCTACACGAGAGCTATCTACACTAGCCGTCCCTAATTTAGCAGTGTAAGACTAGAGGGAAGGCAGCTAGTCATCACCACCCACCGCCAACTCTTGGGCTACTCTTTTACCAACAAATAGTGGGATTGACTGTCACATTATAACGCCCCCATGGCTGAAAGGGCGAGCATGTTTGGTGGGATGAGGATTCGAACCCGCGACCCTCAGATTGCGAGTCAAGCACCTTATCCACCTGGCCATGCCGGGCCTAGGCCAGAAGGTCTAGCGCTTAGAGATAGAAAATTTCTCATAAGCATATGGAAGATTGTTGACCTGACTATTAATTAGTAACTTTTTTAATGGCTATATACTACAATTTTGAAAAAAGGCATTTTAGTACACATAATTAATGTTCTCTTTTAACTACATTTTCACATAATCCAATATATTTCAACTTCAACAATATACTGTTTTTAACATTATGAAAATGGACCAAAAAAAAAGTGTTGCCAAATTTTCTTATCTAACTACCCATTTTTACATTAAGTTGTTACAGTGTTTACTGACCACTTTATTGTAACTTTGCTGTTCCTGTATGTGTAAAATGTTTTTTTTCAGATATCATTACTTTTTGTTTTCATTACAGTTTTCAATAACACAAAACCCAAATTTAATAAAAATTTATTATTCTTTTTACATAAAAATTGATTTTTGCAAGTTATGAACTTGAGTGCCACCAATTTGAGAAATAAAATATCCAACAGTACAATCCCAGCTGTCAGTGTGAGCTATTATTAACACAGATGCAGCTTCTTAAATCACACCATTCTCTAACTTCAGATTTTTCATGTGCCTCTTAAGTCATCACTTTTTAACCTAGTGGCTATGGAGAGCAATTCACATTGAAACTACCAAACTAATATTCAACCTTACAGAGTTTATATCTGTTCAGAAACATATGAATTGTGCCATTCCAGTACTTGAAAAAGCTATTGAAACACTCCAGATTTTGACAAAATTTATGTCCTGTAAACAGAGTCAACAGCAGTGTTATTCCATCCTTCTAATTTGGTTGGAGTCACTACCATGTCTAAATGAAAAATATATTGTTTTTGAGAAAATACCAATAAAGAATACAATAGACAAAAAAATATTTGTAAAATAAATAAAAATAAAATTATATTTATAAGTAATTAATTTACATTACTGTGAGATAAAATGAGGTATACTAATAAATATATTTTCACATTGTGCTGGGAATTTTACTTTACAAAACATTGAACTACTTTTATCTCTGCATTTTATTTGGTGCTAATTATTTATTACTCTTCACACAACTTCTTCTGCTAAGTTCCAAGAGTTTTCAACTTCATAAATTCATACTATTTATTCTTTCAGTTTACTGAGCAAGTTTTAAAGCACTCTCGAGTTCCTTCAGTGCCAGTCTTCCTCTAGTATGTAACATCTTGATCACCTCCTAAATAATACAAGAGTGAGTCCTTCATCACAAAAAGAAGCAAGACATTGTTAAATTATCAATAAAATATGGTTAAATGCAAGTTAATTATACAGAACAGAACTAAAAATAACTTGGATATTAATTAATTAATTCTATTATATGTGCTTTAAAACTAGATTTAAAATGTTGAAAATGACACATTGTCCAATGTAATATTGAAAGTTTGTCTAAAGGACTGAAAACAAATGGAAACTGATACAACAATCCCACTTGCCAGACAAATTCTCATAAAAACCATAGTAAACAAACCAGTGCGAAATGCTACAAATATCAATAATATTGGTTATTGTTCCTTATAAACTCAATAAAGTCTGAGGCTTGTGTAGTTTAAGAGTACAGGTTCAAACTTCACTCAGTCTTGGGTTTAACATCTTAAATTTTTTTAATTTCCTGAAAATATAGAATATGAGAAGATTTATGTTGTTACTTACAATAGATGTAAATGTCCTGATTAATCATCAAACAAATGATTAAAAATAGTTTTCATAGTACATACACATATGACCTTTATCAAAAAACATAATTTATATTACTCAATTTTTTGCCTCCATTTCCAAAAAAAATTTTTTTCTTTAAAGATATACAACTGTTGAGCTTATTTCATAAATACCAGATTATTGGAAGCCCTTGATAAGCATATTTTATAATTACTTCACTGTTGAAAGGTCTTGATAAACGAATAACTACCACACAGCTGAAAGTTCTTGATAAACATACTTCATGACTACCACACTGCTGAAAGTTCTTGATAAACATACTTCATAACTACCAAACTGTTGAAACTCCTTGGTAAGGTATATTATAAATACCACATTGTGGATATTTCTCAATGGGCATATTTTATAAACATCAGACTGCTGAAACTCCTCCATAAGATATTTTATAAATACCACATTGTGGATATTTCTCAATGGGCATATATTATAAACACCAGACTGCTGAAACTCCTCCATAAAATATTTTATAAATACCACATTGTGGAGAGTCCTTGATTGGCATATCTTATAAACACCAAACTGTTGAAACTCCTTGGTAAGGTATATTATAAATACCACATTGTGGATATTTCTCAATGGGCATATTTTATAAACATCAGACTGCTGAAACTCCTCCATAAGATATTTTATAAATACCACATTGTGGATATTTCTCAATGGGCATATATTATAAACACCAGACTGCTGAAACTCCTCCATAAAATATTTTATAAATACCACATTGTGGAGAGTCCTTGATTGGCATATCTTATAAACACCAAACTGTTGAAACTCCTTGGTAAGGTATTTTATAAATACCACATTGGGGAGAGTCCTTGATTGGCATATCTTATAAACACCAAACTGTTGAAACCCCTTGGTAAGATATATTATAAAAAACATACTACTGAAACTGCTCGGTAAGATATTGTATAAATACCACATTGTGGATATTTCTCAATGGGCATATATTATAAACACCAGACTGCTGAAACCCCTTGGTAAGATATATTATAAAAAACAGACTACTGAAACTCCTCCATAAGATATTTTATAAATACTACATTACGGAAAGTCCTTGATGAACATATTTTATAACTGCCATACCGCTGAAAGTCCTTGATGAACATATTTTACAACTGCCATACTGTGAAAGTCCTTGGTAAGATAATTTATAAACTAGGAGGAGTACCCGTCGCTTGGATGGAAGTTATGTAAATTCACGATTAATGAAAGGTTATCATAGGATATCAAAAGTTACTTCACTTATACACAATTGTAAAAAATGCAAAAACACCCATAAAAATTGCAAAACATAAAATGTGATAATGCAAGTATGCACGCATCTCCACATGGACCCAACAAATCTTCATGACAAATTTGGTGAAGATCCATCAACAGGGGGCAAAGTAGTGGTAAAAAATGCAAAAATGCCCATAAAAGCCTGCAAAACTGAGAACTTGTATGCATCTCCCCATGAACTTCCATACCAAATTTGGTGAAGATCCATCTACAGGAGGTGAGGTAGTGGTAAAAAAAAAGTGCAAAAATGCTCATAAAAACTGCAAAATGTAAAACTTTGTATGTATCTCCCCATGGACTTAATGAACCTCCATACCAATTTTGGTGAAGATCCATCTACACCCTGTGAAGTAGTTACATGGACAGGCAACAGACAGTACTATTATATTTATATAGATACTAGATTGTGGAGATTCCTCAATGGGCATATTTTATAAACAACAGGCTGCTGAAACTCCTTGGTATGATATTTATATAGATATCAGATTGTGGAGAGTCCTTCATGGGCATATTTTATAAACAGCAGGCTGCTGAAACTCCTTGTATGATATTTTATAAATACCACATTCTTCAGAGTCTTTGATGAGCATATTTTAACTCCTTGATATGCATATTTCATAAATACCATAATGCTGAAAGTCTATAATGAGGATACTTTATAAACACAAGACTACTGCAAGTCCTTGATAAATATGTTTTATAAATACTCCAACATATATTATAAACACCAAGCTGTTAAAAGTTCACAAAAAGGATATTTTATAAATACCAGACAGCTGAAAGTTCATGATGAACACATTTTATAAACACAAGATTGATAAAAGTCCTTCATTAGCATATTTTGTAAACATCAGGCTACCGAAAGTCTTTGATGAGTGTTTGGACATACAAATGAAGTTTTGTTTAAAATATCAGCATTAATAATGATTAATTATATACTCAAACAATATATGGTTAATGATACTCTGAATATCAAAATCATTATTTAAAATATTTTTCTAAATAAATCATTGTGTGTGTTTGTAAGAATGCATGGTACCATCTTTTTATGGGAAAAGAAATATTTGAATATAATAGGATATCAAGTGGTAAATATTTAGTAAAAGCAATAATAAAATTTTAAATGCAATTATATCTATCTTACAGTATCAGATAATTTTTTTTTCATTAATTAATCTCCAAAGACTTTCTAAAATAGTCATTCACTACTGAAAAAGAAATAATGCTATTACCAACTACTCTAGATCATACATTCGTAATTCTCGACCTTCAAAACACATAATGCTGATGATAAGTTTTATTCATATTACATTTACCTCTTCCTTTTCATGCTTGTTTTTCTTGAAGTCTTGCCGAGCCCACTCTTTCAACTGGTTTCGATGGTCAGAATTAGAAACTTGACGAATCACTTTTAAAATGTCACGATACAAACTCAAGGTTTGTCGAGAAAGCATAAACTAAAAAATAGTGTAAAGAGATATTCGTGTTTGAAAAGATAGAATTGTCACCTTTATTCACCCTTTTCTTAAGTATTGTTCAAAGTTGTTTATTTAACTTGTACTTTTTGAATAAGTCAAGAAGTTTCAATATAACCCTTATTATAACATTTTTTTTTTAAATCAATCTCTTACAACTTACCAATAACTATAAATGGTTTTTCTTAGTCAACTCCTTCAACTTAATTTTATATCTTGTCATCTATATTCAACAGTTGTAAAAAGATGGTGCTACAGCTTTAATTGTTTGTTAGTATTATCAAATTTTACAAAATAGGAGATGTGGTTTTTTGGAGGTAGATTAAGAGGAAAAATTAATTTTGGTTTGAAGCTTTACAAAAATAACTTATTTTCATTTATACTGTAAATGAGAAGGATAATAAAAATTATCTTCAACTACTGCTACTATATCATTCTATAACTGCATCTCAGTGTTAATCAACCACAGAACATAGTGAAACACTGTGGTAAGATATTTTATAACACATTGCAAAGAGTCCTTTTTGGAAAAGTTAAGAAGTTTCTAAATAACCCTTATTAAAACAAAATTGATTTTTAAAAAATGAATCTCTTACAGTATTTTTCAGTCATCCTGTAACTCCTATGTGCTAGCTTTCTTGTTTAACACTATCATTCAAGTCTAGATACAGTTTAGCAGTGAATCACCCTATAATTCAAACTTTAATTTCACCAATGGTTGGCAATGCATTATGTACATAATCCAAAGTATCATCAAGACTAAGGTTAAACTCAGTTCAAAACTTTTAATTATCCAAAGAATTCCCCATAATTTAGCTAAAAGAAATACATCAACAATGGCAAAGGAAAACATCTTCGTGACAGCTAAGAATATTGAATTGTAAAGAAAAACCAAGAAAAGAAAACTTTGGGGGAGAAGACAATGTCTGACACGTATGTCATAGTAGTTCTAACTTAGACAAAATGGTAAGAAAATGTCACCTTGCAAAGAACTGTAGGAGAACTTCGGACAGATGTTTAAAAGTCAGTAATTGTGATCCAACTGTTCAAGATAATAAGCAGTTAAAATATGAGTAGAACTGCTTCACAACCCTTGTGAAGAAATGTTTGACCATTGTTACCCAAACTGTGTCACAACTCCTCATTGGTCCATCAACATCAGGCTTCAACCAGAATTTAAAGACATAGTTCTGAAGCTGAGGTTAGTACATTCTAGATGATCCAGGGATAAAACACTTGGTTATTTGAATAACTAACTTTATATCAGTTTCCTAAGTATGAATTTCTGATATACAAGCTCTGATAAAACAGTAACATATTTCAATGACTATTTTTTTCATTATATGATCTAGACTTTCACATTAAAATGAACTCCAAATAACAATTTGCACACTTTGCTGGCCCTCACTGCCACAAAGTGGCCTGGCACTTTTTAATCTGTGGAATAATAAAGAATAAAGAATTAATATATCAAAGAATTTGCTAATGATACTTCTTAATATGGTTTTTGTGCAGACAAAAATTTAAATATTCATACATAAAGCAAATTGTACTTGCCAACTCATATATGACAGTCACTGACTCACCGTTCTACATGGACATTCATAAATTCTACCACTTTCCTTCCGAATGGTGTCTTCTTCAAGATACACAATCATGAATATAAAGGGAACCAAGTGATACATTGTAATACTTTAAGAAGACAAGTTGTCTCCCTTGTACATTATTCAATGCACTCATTTATAATATCCTTGGATGTCACTAGTATCCTGGAAGCTGAATAAGGTAATGAGTACATGCTAGTGATTATGAATTACTTCATAAAGTGAGCCAAGACTTATCCATTGGCTGATACTTTAACACAGTCCGTCATTGATGCACTAGCAGAGTGCTGGACACAACAATTAATTGCACTTGAAGTATCATAGAGCTAAATGTACAATGTTCTTCTCTGAGCTGTGTAAAGTTGTTGTTGTTGTAAAAACATTCACTTCTCCTGTAGTCTGATGGTTTAGCAGAACAGTAATACAGACTATCGAGTAAATTCTTGAACATTTACCATACATAAAAACTGAATTTTTGCTTCATGAACATGCTCATGTTTCATCTGGAATACAGCTGTGAATGTGATGTATGGTCCACCCCCCTTACATGCTCATGTTTCATCAGGAATACAGCTCCCTGTGAATGTGATGTATGGTCCACCCCCCTTAGAGCAGGTATGCTACAGTGTCCAGAGGAATATGTGAAGTGGTTAAAGTCTGCATTTATGATGCACATAGATTTGTACATCAACAGCTAGGAAAGGTCACCATGGTTCCAACTAAACTGGTTTTTTCTCATCCTCCAACAACTTGGTCTTTCCACTTACAAGTCACAGCAAGCAGATGACACACGACACATATCAAGAAATTAGAAATTGATACTGATTAGTCAGATGATAGTTAATGTTTTGTATCATCTTGGCTCGGCTGGTGAGGATAGTATTTAATTGGTTGTATAAAATGAGTTAGATTGATAAGCACCTTGAGAAGAGGTGCAAGATAGTTCTCATGGTCAGCCAAGACACCGATGATGACCTTCTGATTGATAAGGCTGTGGTTAACTGCTAACACTAGCAGAGAGAAATCACTTGATTGTAATATAAATTAATGAAAGAGAAGTACCATTCCATATTTTCCGAATTATCAAGTGGTATTTCATGCTGAAATGTATGCAATACACTGTGTGATTACCACTTGATTATTACAAAATTAGGATGGTTTTTTTTGGTCCCAAGTTATATTTGACTGAATTCTTCTAGTAATTCTTGAAACTATTGAAAATAGCTATAAACACCTATATGTAGATGTTCAAGCTGAAGTAGTTCATCAAAAAAATATAGTCAATACTGCATCCCAGTGTTTACAGCCAATATTTCTCAGATATTAAAAAAGCAAAAAAAAAAAAAAAACAACAGCAACCAAAGCTGTACCACAGTCAAAATAGCTTAGTGTTCTTCCAGGCTAGGATGGCAAGTGGGGAAGAAATGACTAATAATTCAACAAAAAATAATAACTATTCATGAAGCAAAGACAATGTTAGGAACAAACACCGTGGCTCTTGGAAAAAGAGAATTCCACAATTATGCAGTACAGGAGGTGGCTCAAGCACATATAAAAAAACTTTATGTGCAAATTTAACCACTGAAGGGGAAAAAGTGGCCAACATAGGTGTGAGTACAGAGTACGTACAGTCCTGGACATTTATTGACACAACAAAATAATATAACAAAGTATAAGAGAGCAGGAAAGCCCACACTGGTGAAAACGAAATCTTGAACATATATGTACAATCATTAAACAGTTTGTCCACTGTATAATAATAAATAGTGAATTCAATGAAATGTCATAACAGTATTCATATACCTGAATTAATTTAGGTTACTAAAACAGACTCAAAACCCCTTAGGTAATATAAACATTGTTTCTCTAATGTGAAAGCATAATTTAATATCTAGTTAGTGAAAAAAGAAATAAGCATTGTTTTCATAATGTGCAAAAAAAAGTTATATATAATTTACATAAAGTATAAAATTAACCAATTATAAGAATTATACAAATATTTCATCACAAATCTTATATGCAAGATTGATGCACATCAAAATAGCCAAAACTTCACACTTCAGAAATATACCCTTAAAAACCGACAAATAACATCTTTAATGGATAATTATTTTGCTATTAGCACAGTTCATTGAATAAAACAATAGAACAGGTTTTGTATATCTGTTAAAGATTTCTTTTCTTTTTCACCAAATGCAAAAATGAAAAGAGGCCTAATGATTGGTCATACCCTCTGCTGTGAACTGCAGTTTCGCCTCTTCAACAGGGTTTGATATTTTTATACATTTCAACCTAACATAATTTTTTGTACTACCACTGAGAAATGCACATGTTCCTACTATTATAGAGAACTCATGACTCTTGTATACACTACAGTAGGATAAGCTTGATGAAAGGTTATTAGATTTAGTGAAAAAATGCCCCTACCCCCAAAAAAAACATCTAGCCAAAGTTACAGGTTCAGGATAAAACTCAAGTTATAAGCAATCTAATTTACAAAACTATACCCAAAACTTAAATTTGTAAACACATAATTAAAAAGATGTGCACAGATATCAGAAACATGACAAATTTATATTAATACTATTATAGACTAGTAATAGTAGTAGCATAAATGTTGCATAGTAATTGAATATAAATATAATAAAACTTTAAAAAATAAATGTTCTATAATGTTTCTCATACACTTACATAAATCTACTAATACTATGTTAACAAAGTATCACTTCACTTAGTGTTAAAATTAAATAACACATAACATGTCCAAATGGATCGTTCTTTAATTTCTTAGTATTTTTATTACACTTATTAAAATTTAAATAACTATTAAGATTTCAGCTAGTAATACCATTACAATTCTATAAATTAGTAAAATTACTTTTAATTATCTTCAGATGTATAAATGATAAATAATATATAACGTTAGCTTGTCAGTATCAGTCCAACTTCAGTTATCTTTAAACTAAAGTTCAACTTTTTTAAGCAAGGTTAACTTATTTAATAAGTACGTAGTATTTGACTCATGGTTTTAAATAAATATCGACAGAAATGTGAAACTGACTCTCTGAAAGTTATTAACTTGCAATATTAACAATATCTAACTTACTTTTCTAAATGGCAAAACATGTTTCGGTAATTTCGAAGACATTTATAAAGTATAAACAGAAGTGTCTATTGACAAGGACACGTAAAAATAAAGCAGCATAAAATTTATCTTAATTACAGGTATAAAGTAGGACTATGAGGTTTCTGTGTGGTGTCTGCTACTTCTTTTTTTATTAGACGTTAATATTTTTGTCTTACACCTACAAATTGTTTCCATGTTAAAATCTTAATTAAAGAAAGTTATTCTTGATGTGTTAATTTAAGACATCTCAAAGACGAATCACTCCCAAAACTTCGGGAAAACAGTAACAGGGAAAGACGCAAAAAGTAATAATAATAGTGATGTAAAGAGACAAGTTATGAGAAAATGTAAAAATAGAAAAATTATTTCAAAACCATGAAATACAATTGTAACTGATGTAATTAGTGGTGGTGTGCATTAGCAGCACAATAAATTTTAGAAAATTCCCTTTTTACTAATTTTATGCCGTGCGTACCCCGCTGAGTTAAGAGGTAAGTATGTGGACTTATAACTCTAAAATCCTAAATTTCATTCCACGCGGTGGAGAGATCACAGATAGTATAGCTTTTCGCTAATTAAAATAAACAATATATATATATATATATATAATTTATTGTGTAGCTTTGCATTAAAAACAACACAACTAATGGCATGTAAGGAAACATTTTTGATTTTCATTACAGCGTGATTATAAGAGAAAAAATAAAAGAAATATACAAAAATAAAGCTACTATACAAAAGCTAAATACAAATATACTTAGCTTTTGTATAGTAGCTTTATTTTTGTATATTTCTTTTA